GGCAGCGCTCGGGATCCCTTCGCGTGAAACGGAGGTTTGTTTTCGGGACAGTCGTAACTTGTCCCTTTGCCGACGCGTGCCAAAGGACGCTGAAGGGTCGGCAATGGGAAAGTTGTACTTGCTCAGAGGTTCTACAGCCCTTTGACAAAGAACGATTTGAGGCGGTGCCCGTAGTGAGAGCATGATCATGTATATGCGACTGCACCTTTACTATGGTACCTCCTGTTTAGATCAGGGTACAGGATCCCCTGGGGGCCAATGGGCACTCAAATACAGACATGGAAGTACCGCACGCATATACATACTTCAAAACATTGTGGATTTACCTGGGTACGCGTGTGGTCAACCAACGGGGCCGTGATGCGCTGTCATGGAGTAGTCCCTGTGACCGTGATATGGCCTGTTTAGGCAGGTCGGGTGGTTTAGACGCCGTAGAGAAAAAAATCCGCGCGTTCACGGACTTATGCAAGGCGCTGTAAGTGAACTGCACCATAGATGCCATCGCGATGGCGCTGAGATACGACTGAGCTAAGCGGCTGTGACCCCACTGCCGTGACGAAGGGCTGGCGCTGGATCTCAAAATACGGGCGGCTACGAAAATACGCCAACTTTGAGCGGGGCTAGTCCAGGGTGCCGTCTGATAGGTGGCGATGCAACACAGGAGCCACGCAAAGGAAAAGCATGTCCGTTGACAGACGCCTGTGCTCGCGATGACGTCGTCCGAAAGATTCGGAAAGATGGTACATCGATCACGTTCAGAGAGAAGCCTGTACGCGCGTACAACGGTCTTCTCCTCACTGTCTATCTCCAATCAAACCCCTCTCTGACCCGCTGGAAAACCCGAGCAATAACCATGGCAGCATCGAAAGGCAGTTCGCCCAGTCGCTGGATTCCGCTCGAAAGCAATCCGGAGGTACGACCCTGAGTTGAGTAACATTGTCAGAGTGGCTGAAGAGTGAGGTCTTCCTTTCGCCACCCTAGGTCCTCACAAAGGTCTTCGCCATCGTTTTGCCAACTTTGAGGTGAAAAGCTTACACTTCAACAGTGGGCAGTGAGTGCGGGTCTGGTGGAGAGCCAAGCTCACTTTGAGGACATCTATGGGCTTGATTCAGAGGTGCGTCTACTAGATGGACGGAAAGTGCCTCTCTCAAGTCCATGTATTCATCCACAGCTCCTTGCATTGGTATCGCAGCCCGTTAAGGCTGTGATACTACTGTTCCCCCTCAATGACGCTTGTCAGCAGAGGAGGCGCCAGGAGGACGAGCGGATTGCGGGAGAAGGCCAGCCTGCTATTGACCCCACCATCTTCTGGATGAAGCAAACGGTATGTAAAGCCCTCATAAGTCCGTTTAGCTCTTCCCTCACATATTCTACAATAGATCTCCAATGCGTGTGGGACCATGGCTCTACTGCATGCGCTGATCAACGTGAGCGGCTTTCATTTGACCGGAGGGATCACGGTCTGAATCATCTCGTAGTCAGACGTGACCTTCGCGCCGGAGAGCCCCATCGAACAGTTCATTGACATTTGCAAGGGTGAGTCTGGCATGGGACATCCATAAACGTTCTAAGACAGCCTTTGCTACGGCCATGCAGACAAAACGCCTCTCGAGCGAGCGAAGATCCTGGAAACGACTCCGCTGTTCGCAAATATCCATGCATCTGCCGCTTCTGGGGGACAGTCTGCCATTCCTCCGAACCTTGACACGGATCTGCACTTCACCTGCTTCGTCCAAGCCCCAGATCCTTCCTCAAGGGAGAGCGGCACGCCGGTCACGCCTGCTACCACAGGCGAGATGAGGCTCATCGAACTCGACGGGGAGCGTGCAGGGCCAGTAGATCGCGGTGTCTCGAAGAATTTCTTAGCCGTGAGTACTTGAAACATGCTTTCCTATCAAATGTACTGAGCGCGTGATTGTGTAGGATGTCGCCAAGGTCGTGAAAGACCTCTACATCGCTCACACGGCGAATGTGAACTTCAGCTTGATCGCTCTCTCAGGAGGACCCAGTCTGGTTTGACGAGTGATGACGGTGACTTGCGTGTTGCTGAGATCGAACGTAAGTACGATGTATGAATTAGCTTCTTGGAAGCTTTGCGAATTCGCACGAGTGTCCCTGTATTCCAAATCCATAGGACCGATTGTACACTCTTCTCGAACCGTTTCGAACGGGTGCCCGTTGTTGCGTCGAGGTCTCTAGGCGCTTATCAGGGAGCCAACGGCATGCGTCCAAACACGGTCCCGTGAGTGGCGCGTCGCGCAATGTCCCCGATTACACTAGAAGCGGATGCGCATGCAAGCGTGATATATGCGGTGATCGTTAGCCGATACGAGTACTTGGAACGCAGAAAATAATATGTAGGTCAGCTCTCAAGTGACTCCCGGGTCGGCATCCGTGGCCAAAGTAGGTACCTGGACACTACAGTACAGTATACTGCTGTGGGGTAACATCATCTATGCATGTCTCTCTCATCCTGATGACAAGCGATAGTCATACATACACGGGGTATCCTCGGATACTCGAAAGTATGGTCAACGCCCACAGAATGAGTCTGGAACTTGAAGGAAGTATTGGGTAACCGGAGTGCTGCAATTTCCAAATCCGACATCCTCAGATGCTCGATGGAGAAGCGTGATGAGGTCCACAGAAGATGATGAGAATGCCTAGCAGTGTTGTGTCGGGATGCCTTGCGTCGTGAAAACGAAAATGGATGTCATGAAAATCGGGGGGCGCATGAGGTGAAGCCGACCGGAAGTTCGGACGGACGTCTCGCAACCTTGGCTTGCGAGAGATTAGTCAGGAGCCGCGCCGGCACGACAGAAGCTCAAGAACGCGGCAGTCGAGTACGCCATCGATGAGTCTCCGTGCGTGCTCGCTGTCGCCATCCCCTCTCACTCCAATGTCGTCTCCGTTCAGGACGACATTGATAGCATGTCGCGCTGACCCAGAAGGATGGGGCCCTGTATCTCAGATCCGCGCTTTCGACCTAACACCTTGTTTCGAGGAAGCCGTCATCTTCTCACCCTTCTCCGTCGTCTTCCTTGTCCTTGCTGTCCTTGCCTGTTGGAGACACCGACATTATGAAATCCGCGAGAGATGCAAGAAAAGCATCTGGGTGTTGCGCGCAAAGTTGGTGCGTACCTAACCTTGTTCATTGATTTACCGTTAATGCCGTTCTCATGGTCATGTTGTTTGGTAGTCGCTTCTTTCGCTCGCGTTCATCGCAAGCTGCGCCAACCTAATCCTTATCCTGGGCACTCGGAAACAAGTCGCATTCCTTCCATCATACGCGCTCGAGATTGCATCTCTATCTTGTGCATTAATCCTTTCCTGGCAGAACCACTATCGAGCTCGCACGTCCTCTTCTCTACTCCTGCTCTTCTGGCCAGTCTATGCAGCTGCGACCATAGTATGGGCGCGTACCTCTCTGACGATTTCTCCAAATGGTGCCCTACCTGTCGTGATCGGCAGAGGCGTTGTCGCCATCTTCGGACTGGTTGCATTTGCGTTGGAATGCCTGGGACCCGAATTCTCGCCTGAAGACAGTCCAGAACCTCTTGTCAAGGGACATGTTGAAAGCCCGCTTCTCACGGCGAACATCTTCAGCAAATGGTGCTTCAGCTGGATGAACAAGTTGATGAAGAAGGGTGCGACCGAGTACATCACTGAGAACGACCTTCCGGGTCTGGTGCCGAGCGACGAGGCAAGCGCGCTAGGAAGCAGACTTGTGAAGGCATTGGACAAACAGTGTGTATATACCCTTCCTTTCCTTCAGGGCGCTTCTGACACCGGTGCAGCTCTTCTCTTTGGGTAGCGCTCTTCGTGGCGTACGGTGGTCCATATGCCTTTGCACTTGGGCTCAAGTTAGTGCAAGACTGTCTCGCATATTTGCAGCCTCAACTGCTGCGCTGGCTTTTGTCGTATATTTCGATCTACCAGTCGTCTCGCTTCTCGGAGGATGGTCCGAGTCCCATTGAAGGGTTCACTATCGCCGTGGTCATGTTTTGCGCATCTATCACCCAGACGATCGTTCTGCACCAGGTACGCCCGCATATACGCAGCTTGGGTCGGAGTCGACTGACGTACGCTCTCCTCAAGTACTTTCAACGCTGTTTTGAGACTGGCATGAGAGTCCGCTCCGGACTGATCACGGCTATCTACCAGAAGGCCCTTGTCCTGTCCAATGACGGCCGGAGCAGCGCTTCCGGAGACATCGTCAATCTGATGTCCGTTGACGCGGCACGTCTGCAAGACCTCTGCACGTACGGTCTCATTGCGATCTCTGGGCCATTCCAGGTATGTGACTGGCATATTTCTACCCACCTTGACCGCGCTCAAGCAGAACACAGATCGTCTTGGCATTCGTGTCGCTGTACAATATCCTGGGCTGGCCGTCCTTTGTCGGAGTGGCCGTTATGATCGTCTCTATTCCGCTCAACACTCTGATCGCGCGCTTCTTGAAGAGGCTGCAAGAGGAGCAGATGAAGAACCGAGACAAGCGGACCCGGCTCATGTCTGAGTTACTGGCCAACATCCGCAGGTTCGTCGCATCCGAAGTATCAAGACTGAGATTCTCTTTGTTGAAGTCTCGCGCATAGTATCAAGCTGTATGCGTGGGAGAACGCCTTCATTCGTTGGATCTCGGAGGTCAGGAATAACCAAGAATTAAAAATGCTAAGAAAGATTGGCATCGTCAATGTAAGTCACAAGCATTTGCTTTGCCTAGATTTGCATTGACTGAGCCGCATCGTAGTCGTTGAACTCGTCACTCTGGACTGGTGTACCTTGTGAGTCTATGCAATACATCGCGTTTTTTTTGGTGATGATTGACGCGCTTCAAGTGCTTGTGGCGTTCAGTTCCTTCGCAGTCGCAGCGTACACTTCAGATGACCCTTTGACGTCGGACAAGATCTTCCCTGCCATCTCCCTTTACATGCTGTTGCAATTCCCGCTCGCCATGGTAGGTCACTTCCTCGACCTGGCCATCTTGCAGCGCCCACTGACATAGTAATTCACAGTTTAGCCAGGTGACGTCAAACATCATCGAGGCTATGGTTTCAGTTCAGCGGCTTTCGAAGTTCTTCGCCGCCGACGAGCTTCAGCCAGACGTCCGACGGGTCGTCGAGAAGGCTGACTTGGACCAGGGCGACGTCGTCGTGTCGGTCGTTAATGGTGAGTTCACTTGGGACAAAAACGCCGTGTCGCCCACTCTGGAGGACATCAACTTGACCGTACGTAAGGGAGAGTTGGCCGGCATTCTGGGACGCGTGGGTGCAGGCAAGGTAGGCTTCCATGTTGCCAAAGGATGTATGCATGGGACTGACGAAACGGCTGTTCTGTAGACGAGTTTGCTGTCAGCTATCATCGGTGAGATGCGACGTGTCGATGGAGAGGTCAATGTCTTTGGCACGGTATCATATGCTCCTCAAAATCCTTGGTATGTGCATTTCGATTCCTGCAAAGGGATACTCGTTGAGAAGCGCTGGCAGGATTATGAGTGCAACCATCAGAGACAATATCCTATTCTCGCACAAGTATGAAGAAGAATTCTACAACCTCGTATTAGACGGTGCGTCTTCATAACTTCATGTTCCAAGTCTCTTATTGAAGAGGCGACGTATAGCGTGTGCTCTGCGCCAGGACCTCGCCTTGATGCCGAGTGGCGATATGACGGAAGTCGGAGAGAAGGGTATCACGGTAAGGCGGCTGAATTTTTTTTTCGACGTCGACAATATTGAGCTGACTCTTATCGTCCGCAGTTGAGTGGTGGACAACGCGCTCGTGTCGCACTTGCGCGTGCAGTGTATGCCCGGGCTGATCTGTAGGTTGCCTCTTGCCCTTCTCAAGTCCCACAGATTGACTGATGGCCATACAGTGTCATGCTGGATGATGTCCTGGCTGCTCTCGATTCGCACGTTGCAAAGCACGTTTTCGGTGAGTCAGCTTCTTAGTCAGATGCATGCCAATAGTCTGAGCCAATTTTATACATAGACAATGTGATCGGACCCAACGGCCTTCTTGCCTCGAAGGCAAGGATTGTTGTTACTAACAGCATCCACTTCCTCAAGCACTTCAATCACATCTACTATGTACGGCGTGGTGTCATTTTGGAGAGTGGTACGTATGCCGAACTGGTCGCCAACCCCCAATGCGAATTGCACAAGCTTGTGTACGTGTCGAAGTCGTACTGTATAATGTGTTCTGCGAACACTGACTTTGGGCAAACAATAGGAAGGGGCACGGGAGCTTGACGGCACATCTAACGTCTGGCATGTCAACCCCGTTCATGACCGGATTCACCGCTACACCGGACTCTTCCGAAAACGATAGCAAAACCGCGGTCGAATCGTCCACCCACGAGCTTACCAAGGAAAAACTCGACAATCTGAACAAGACTCTTGTCCGCAGCAAGTCATTTGGGAAAGCCGTGATCGATGACAACCTTCCTACCCGTACCGTGTCGGATGGCCCGACAAAGGAGCATTCTGAACAGGGCCGAGTGAAGCGCGAAGTGTACCTCCGCTACATCGAGGCAGCTTCGAAGGCTGGGGTCATCTCGTTCGTCATGGCGCTTATTCTGCAGCAGATTGCGGGCCTCATGGGTAACAACATGCTTCGCCAGTGGGGGAACCATAATACCGAAGTGAGCGACAACGAAGGCGCCGGGTGGTACTTGTTGGGCTACGGCTTGTTCTCACTATCATCGACTCTGCTCGGAGCTCTTGCCTCGATCTTGATCTGGGTCCTTTGCGCGGTGAGGAGCGCACGGAGGTTGCATGACGCGGTAAGCGCCAGCTCCTTCCGGGATCGTCTAGGGTGTTAGCTAACGGGCACTATCGTAAGATGCTCAATGCGGTCATGCATTCGCCCTTGACGTTCTTTGAACTGACGCCCACTGGACGGTATGTTAGCTCATTATTATGTGCGAATGTGGAGGAGGGTTGATCACGCTTTGCAGAATCCTGAACCTTTTCTCTCGGGATACGTACGTAGTCGATATGATCCTCGCTCGGGTATGTCTGCTGGCAGCTGTGCTCGACGGTCGGGGGTCTTACAGACTTCGTAGGTCATCCAGAACACCGTGAGGACACTGGCCACCACTGCGATGATCATCATCGTGATCGGGTACAGTTTCCCACTTTTCGTGAGTGTCATCTTTGAGAACTATTGATGAGGTCGTGTCTCATGACTTCTACTAGTTGCTTGCAGTCCCCCCTCTGGCATGGTTCTACGTTCGGGTCATGATGTTAGTGATCACACGCAGAGCTTTACGGCACAGCTATTGATCTTGGTTTTAGCTACTACTTGGCTACCTCTCGCGAGCTCAAGCGTCTCGATGCTGTATCGCGCTCACCCATCTTTGCATGGTTCTCCGAGTCCTTAAATGGGCTGTCCACCATCCGCGCGTTCGGCCAGCAGAAGCTCTTCATTGAGAACAACGAGCGCCGTGTGGACAGGAACCAGATCTGCTACCTCCCAAGGTGAGTGCTTTCATAGTGCGCCAGACCAGTGACGATGGCGCTGAGCGGCCTTCACGTAGTATTTCGGTCAATCGCTGGCTTGCCGTCCGGCTCGAATTTGTCGGCGCGACGATTATCTTCGTCACCGCGATCTTGTCGATCGTAGCGCTCGTCACAACCGGAGTTGACGCTGGACTTGTTGGTTTCGTGCTGTCGTACGCGTTGAACACAACTGGTTCTCTGGTGAGAGGTTCCATCCTAGAGTCGCGCGAAGCTCATATGACTGAACGAGCATGTTCTTAGAACTGGCTTGTGCGATCGGCTAGCGAAGTTGAGCAGAACATCGTCAGCGTAGAGCGTATCTTGCACTACATTGAGTTGCCGCCTGAGGCTCCTTGGGAAGTCCCGGGCACAGTGCCGGAGGACTGGCCCGCCAGGGGTGAGATCGAGTTCAGGCAGTACTCCACGAGGTATCGCCCCGAGCTGGATCTCGTCCTCAAGGACCTCAATATCAAGATTGTAAGTAAAGTCAATAGCCTCAGTTCGTCCGTGGTCAATTGATATCCTCTTAGAAAGCCTGCGAGAAGATTGGTATTGTGGGACGGACGGGCTCGGGCAAATCATCAGTGAGTCTTCTTTTGTCTCCTCAACGATCATTCATATCTGAAACAATTTTGCAGACACTTCTCTCGCTTTTCCGTGTCATCGAGCCCGCTTCTGGGACTATTTACATCGATGGCGTGGACATTACCAAGATAGGTCTCCACGACCGTGAGTAGCCGGATCTTGACCGCTCGATGCGCTAGAACCATACGCTCATGTTCATCGTCATCCAGTTCGTTCGGCAATATCTATCGTACCCCAGAGCCCTGACCTTTTCGAGGGGACGATCCGCGACAACATCGACCCCTTGGGAGCGTCGAGCGATGCGGACATTTGGGTGGCGCTTGAGCAGGTGCGTTGCGAATTTTACTTGTGGCGTTCGCACAGTTGACCTTGGAACCCAGACGCACTTGAAGGCGTTCGTGGAGTCGCTCCAGGGCGGACTAGATGCTACGGTCAAGGAAGGTGGCTCGTCCTTGTCCTCAGGACAGCGGCAGTTGTTGTGCTTTGCGAGGGCACTGCTGCGCCAGTCAAAGATACTAGTGCTTGATGAAGGTATGCGATTGCGCTCCTTGCTATCCAAGGGGGTCTCGGGAGCTGATACCCCTTTTGTAGCTACCTCCGCTGTGGACTTGGACACCGACCAGGCGATCCAAGAAATCATCCGAGGGCCGCAGTTTGCCCACGTTACGATGCTCACTATCGCGTAAGTGTACTCTCCCGGACAACCCGGTCCATTTGCCTCATCAGCTCATTGCATTTTACGTTATGTAGGCATCGCGTGAACACCATCCTGGAATCCGACCGAGTACTGGTCCTCGATGCCGGGCGGGTAGTCGAATTCGATACGCCGAAAAGCCTGCTTGCAAATAAGCAGAGCGCCTTCTATTCTCTCGCCGCGGAGGCGGGTTTGGCGTGATAATAATTGCTTATGTCTTAGAGGCCTCATCACATTGAGGTTACTACCCCAAATCAATATACTAGACGGCGCATCTGTCAAAGTCAGATAAAGAGCATGCAGGGAAACGCATGAAGCTGGAGTGGAGCAATCAGCGGCTCGGCGTGCTGCGGAGAAGCAACGCCGTGTCCTGAAATCGGCGGGATGACATCATCGGGTACTATTGGCCCATTGCCGCCGGCGGTGCGACGAGAATTGATAACCATCAGCTCTGCTGGCGGGCGTATTCCCAGTTCAAGCTTCTGGTCGCTATGTCAGAGAGTTTCAATCATATCACCTCGTATGCTCAGAGCCGTAGTATGTCCAGACCACCTTGGGAGACAAAAACAATGCGTCTTCAGGCATGAGCGGGCGCCACCGACTCGGCTGGCAGGGCGGCAGAACGTTGGATACAGAGAAACGGGGTTGCAACCTCCCTGACCGTTCCATTCGCCCAGAGCCATGTATCTCAGATGGCTGGGGGAGGTGGTCACCCAGGATCTTAAAGCCAAGGCATCTCTACTCGACGAGTTTCTCCGCTCCAGCGCATCTCCGGCCACGCTCTTCGATCTCACAGCCGCAGTGTGGGCTCTCTAGACGTTTCTCCTGTGTCCCGCCGTTCTCCTCCCTGCTCTCCCTGGCTCTCCTGCTCTCTGCCACGTCGCATTGTCTTCTCTACGCTCGTTAGCCTCACGCGCCGTCCTTTCTCATGCCTGGCACACGCCCAGAGCCAGAGGAACACGACCTGACGATCATCGACCACAAGGACCCCCGTCCATTCGCAGACAGGGTTGTGCCCGACATCGTCCACCATCCACACCAAGACGTTGACCGCGACGATATCGTGAAGCAGGATGACCACTCAGGATCAGATTCAGACGAGACTGTGACGGACTCGGAGGACGAATTCGACTGGGAGGCTGAGGACGACGCCAAGTCTGCTCATGTCGCCGCGTCCATCAAGGCAAAGCGCGGCCGCGCCGTCTACCGTGCGTTCAAGAAGCTGCCGCGCCTCCTCCGCGCGCTGCTCGTGGGCGCAATCGGGGCGGGCATCCTCATCACGCCGCTGCTCGTCGTCCACCTGCGCTTCAGCACGAGCGTAGTCAAGACGCAGGTATACGTGTGGTCACTATGGCTGACGATCACCTGGGCTGCGGGTGTCGCGACGTTTATCGTGGTCGATGCCGTCCCGCACTTCATACTCGTGCTGCTCCGGTTGACCAACTTCAAAATCGAACGGACAAGGGTCACTATCGAGGTAAGCGCGAGTCCATCCCTGCTGCGCCGCGCGCGACCTAACGCTTTTCTCAGCTGGTGGCGGCGGTACGAGGATGGCTGAAGCTCGCGCTCGATATCACTTGGATGTGGATCGCCCTGTCGGTCGTCCGCGTGACCTACAAGCCCCCGGGGTCGTATTGGGTGATCATCAACCGCGTCATGCAGGCCTTGTTCGCCGCCGGACTCCTTGTCCTCGCCGAGAAGGCGTTCCTGCGGTACGTCGCGATCAACTTCCACCGGAAGGCCCTTGCGGAGCGCATCGCGGAGAACCAGCTCGGCCTGCGCGCGCTCGACCGCCTCTCGAATGCGCAGCCTGCGCCGAAGAAGAACCTCTACTTTGGCAAGAAAGGGCACCGTTCGCGCGGGTCGAGCCTGGACATGCTCGGGATGGGCGGCGAGAAGGGGGGCGCGAGCGGGTCGAACTCGGGCACGTCGTCGCCGACGGAGAAGAAGAGCAAGCAGTCGCAGAAGCAGGCCAAGAAGCAGAGGCGCAACCTCGTCACAAGCGTCATCGTCGATCAGCTGGGTGGCGCGCTCGAACAGGTCACCCAGGACCAGTTCGGCAGCCTCGCCAGCGCGGGCAAGCTTGCCCGCAAGCTCTTCAGCACCCTCAGCGACGTCCATCCGCCGAGGAAGTACCTCATCGTCGAGGGTGTGTGGTGACATGACCGTCTGCATCACTAGCTCCGTTCGCTCACGCTACTGCCAGATTTCTATCCGTACTTCCCCACTCCTGGTGACGCTGTACGTTCGCATCTTCTTTGTTTGGCCAATAATGACATCCTGCCTGAACTCTGTCGCTTCAGCGTGCCGCGTTCGCCCTCTTCGACAAGGACGGCAATGGCGACATCTCGAAGAGGGAAATGCGTGAAGCGGTGCGGCGCATCTACCGCGAGCGGAAAGCGCTCACGGCTAGCTTGAAGGTACGATCTCATGTCCTACTCTGCTCGTTCAGGACAATCGCTGAGACGCACACTTTGATATTTCAGGACGTCGGTTCTGCTGTGGGCAAGCTCGACGCAGTCATGCTCTCCGTTGTGGCGTTGATCTTCATCTTCATCTGCTTGCTCATCTTCAACCGCAACAACACGATTGCATCCCTCGTCCCGCTGGCGACTATCATCGTCGGTTTCTCATTCATCTTCGGTCACTCGGCGCAGACGCTCTTCGAGTCGGTGAGTATATGCGTTGTTCCTCGAATGGTTCTCGTGTGCTGACGCTGCCAAAGCTCATCTTCATCTTCTCCACGCACGTCTTTGACGTCGGAGACCTCGTAATGATCGACGATCAACCCTTGTTCGTCCGCGAGTTTGGCTTGTTCTCGACGACCTTCCGCCGTGTCGACGGCATGGAGATCATCGCACCCAACTCGCTGCTGGCGTCCTCAAAACTAGTTCACAACCTGCGCCGTAGCAACTCAATGTGGGAGTCGACGACGCTCACGGTTGCGTACGATACGCCTCTCGAGCAGCTCGAGCAGCTCCGCATCCGCTTGCAGGGGTACGTCGCCACGAACAACCGCGAGTGGTCCAACGTCACCGTGAACATCGACAAGATGGACAACCAGAACGCGATCTCGCTCATCGTGGCGATGGAGCACCGCCCGAACTGGCAGGACTGGGGCGGGCGCTGGGTCCGCCGCACGGCGTTCATGCGCCACCTCAAGGCGATCCTCGAGGACCTCGACCTCAAGTACACGAAGCCGATCCAGCCAGTCCTCATGCCCCGCGCCCCTGGCGGCATGGGCAGCTCGCCGTACCTCGACTTCCCGCCGTCGCCGCGGTCGGGCTCGAGAAGGGCGCCTGGGGCGGAGTCGAGGGAGACCCTTGGGAATGCGGGTTACCTGGATCCCGACCCGCTTGGGCGCTCGCCGTCGCGCAGCCTTCGGCCTGGCGGAGACAGGTTCTGAGCCTGTCGATTCGCAGCATACGTCTCACACGAACTCTTGACTTGCGCTTTGTGCTGGTACGGGCGCCGCATTGGGATCCTCGCGGTGGTGGTATACGGTTGAGGGTTCCATGCGTTCGTTGTTGTGACACGGGCTCGCGTCGTACGCATCCCCGTTGCCAACTCTCGCCGTGGTAGACTCCCTAGTGGCGTGACCGTGAAGTCGACACTGGCGGAAAGTAGTTTACTAACCTCATCATCCTACAATTTAGACGCAAATGTCTCGCATCGCTTCATATATCGCATCCACCCATCTAACGAATACTGTCTTACATCACGCTTTGTGTCTAGGCTTGTCTTCTGTCTTGCATATGTCATTCGTAAAGTTATGTACACAGTTTCTCGATCACAGACGCGTCCTAATGCCCAACATCCGATGGGTTGAAGTGGTGTGTGTACTGCTACGACTGTGGTCAGAGTTATTGTTCTCCTACTATCCAACAGCGAAGATCGCTTGAAGTTGTTCTACTACGCGCACGAGACTGGCTTTGTCGGATACTCACGCTCAGACTTCGCACATTCGATGCTGAGTCAGCAGACAGCATGGGCGTTGAGTGCGTCGGACGGGTCATTTGAAGGTCGTTTCCGGACGACGCCCAGAGCGGTTCCCACTGTCAATTTCTTGAGGCTATATATGCCCATCTCTACCCATCGTGTTCCATGTCTCTCGCCCTGAACTCTCCCGCATTCTTCCTGGCCGTCTCTTCTTCTCGCTCTTTCTCTTGACGTCACCATGACCACCCGAACGAGAACTTCTGGGAGGAACGCACTGAAGGCGAGACATACTGCCACCAGCATAAGCTCCCAATCCTCATCCGGAATCGGCGCTGCAGAAACCCGTCCTGATGTCAGAGGCAAGGGAAGGGGGAAGGATGGCGAGGACGTCTCGAAGGCGGTCGCCCTTTCTTTGGTGGATTACACTCTAATCCTCAGTCTCGTGTTCGGGGGATGCTGCTCGTCAGTCCAAGTCAAAACACAGTGCCACGTAGGCCACATGAGCTGAGCATGTGCGAACAGGAATGTGTGGTCGTACGAACAGCTCCTGAAGATGGATGCGCATATAGGTGAGGGGACCCCGTCCTTCGCCTCTCTGCCCAGCCAGCTGCTGATATGCTCCAGGGACCACCCTCACGTTCTCCCAGATGTTGTTCATCACAGTGCAGTCGCTGCCATCCTTCCTGATTTTCCGCGAGGGTAGCTGGGTCCCACACCTCAGGCCGCGACAGGTTCCAATACACAGCTGGGCATTGCAAGTCCTCGTCCTCACCTCGGGTACCTTGATGAACAACTGGGTGTTCGCGTTCTCCGTCCCACTGACTGTACAAATTGTGTTTCGTTCCGCGGGTAAGATCGGTTCAGTAACGGATTCATCGTCGATAAGTACTCATAGTATGCAATCAGGTTTGGCAGTGTCGATGTTATTTGGATACCTCTTTATGAAGAAGAGATACTCGCTGGCACAGATGGCAAGTTCGCAAGGCGCGGTCTGTTCGAGTAGCATGAACTTACACCTGTGGACCTCTCAGGCGACAGTCGCTTTCGTATCTGCCGGGGTGGTATTAGCGACCCTGTCCCGACCTTCTTCGACTAAGTCCTCAGACGTTCCCATAGACATCGGTAGATATACAATCGGCGTCGCCATGCTCACATTCTCTCTCTTCCTCACGGGCACCCTGGGAGTACTACAAGAGCGTACCTATACTACATACGGTCCTCACTGGAAGGAGGGCGTATTCTACACCGTGAGTCGTCTTACTGTGGCATCACGTCATCCCCGCATGCCTCATATCATTGTTCTGCCAGCATTGCCTCTCGCTTCCCATATTCTTGCTCTTTGTCTCTGACCTGAAACGGGGCTTCCGCGGCCTCGCCAAGCCCGCCTCTTTGGCACCCTTTCGGGAGGACGTGCTCGGTAGCTTTGCACCGATTGTCCCGCACGCCGTCCTTGCGGCGAACATGGCTACCCAGCTGGCGTGCGTCTCGGGCGTGAACCAGCTCTCTTCGGTGCGTTCATCCGCATCCACGCAGCAGTCCTGAGCGACGGATGCTGAATGCCGTCATCCCCCCTCCCCTCTAACTCATTGCTCTTCATCAGCGCGTCTCCTCGGTGTCGACCAACCTCGTGCTCACGACCCGCAAGGCGATCAGCCTCTGCTTCAGCGTGTGGTGGTTCGGGAACGGCTGGAACGCTCAGCTCGGTGTCGGCGCGGGCATGGTCTTCCTCGGCTCGCTGCTCTACACTGCGGTCACCGCGCGGGGAAGCAGGCCGCCGCCTGCCGGTGATGTGCAGGACGAGACGGCAAGCGTCATCCCGAACGGTGCGAAGGCGAGCGAGAGGGCGAGGGCAAAGCGGAGGAAGGCAAAGGCGGAGTGATCTGCGGATCCGGGCTGCTCACGTTCGGGCTGCTCAGAAGCGGATCACGCTGTGGAGTAGATCCCAAGGTTCTGCGTAACTTATTCTGTAACAAGTCGTGCTCGGTCGATTTCGCTCAGGGCCGCCACTACAGTATTATAAGATCGTCGCAGCACTGTATGTACTGGATCGGGGACATAGAATTGCTCGTGTTATTGTGTTGAATGACAACCCGGAAGTCCAGACTCCTGTCCGGATTTCGCAGTGCGTGTAGGAGTATATATTCGGCAACAGGCTGGGGTATGGACAACGACACAGGGGCTTCTTGGGATTTGTTATCGAACAGCGGGACAAACATATATGCATTTGTACGTACACAGAGGGCGGTTTGGGTCGGATGGAAAGAGAGGGGAGTGATGATATGCAAGCAATATATTAAGGTTAAGCGGCGTCCGATGTTCCTGGAGACCGCAACCCCGCGCCCTCGAACACTCGATGACGCCAGTGCTAGCAATAACCAGGAGCGACACAAGGAGCACGAAGTGATCAGGACGGCTCGCAGTAATAAACATGACGAGATGGGCTGGCCGATACGTACGATGCGCACGAGGTGACCACTCAAAGAGACCGGCGCGACCCCAACGAGCGACGGCACGCTGATGGTATTGGAAGCTCCTGCTGCACAATGCGATCGATGTGTATGGCACAACCCTAGATATAACGAAAAATGTAGGGACACGGAAGTCAAGCACAGAAGAGAGAAGAACTGAACACAGCGAGACGCGCGCCGAGCCAATTATTAACTGGGTAACGTACAAGGGAGCGGAAGGGGGTGGGGGACGGGCGGAGAAACAGAGGGAGGGACAAGGATTCTCTTCTGCGGAATAGAGGAAGTAATAAGGTGTGCTGATATATCGGGGAATATGGAGTACGCGTGAAGGCGAGCGTGAGGGGCGTAACATGAGGGGGTCATAGGGATCTCGACGAGGGAGGGATCCGAGGCATGACATACGTGCGGCGCGGTGCGGCGAGGGGAGGGACACAGGACCGAACCCAGACGACGACCAAGGTGCGGCACGAATACAGTTATGATAGTTTAACCGATGCGGATATGGTGATGAATAGGAGCGGTATGGGTCGAAGAGTGATGCCAGAACCTCGAGGATGGGGGTACAAGAATAAGAGCTGGTAATGATGGGGTGGGGTTGAGGATATCGATAAATGAAGCGCAGACTTTACACCAGAAGAAGCAGAAAGACAGTGGACCAAACAAGAGCTTGTACAGATGAGATGGGAACGCGAGCGCAGTCGAGTCCCCTCGGAAAGAGTCCGAAACCGAGTCCGGAGTGGTGTCGTGTCGGCACTCCACGGCGCGCAGGGTCGAGCTGTCGCCCGCATCGCGGGTGTGGGAGAGCTCAGAGCGCGGGTATGTGAGCCTTAATGGCCCTTTTCGCTCATGTCCGTCATCTCAACGACGGGCGACTCGACGATGCCGATGCCAGACTCTATGTGCTTCTGATTGAAGGGGTATTCCTGCCCTCCGTCGTTGCCGATCGTCATCGGGGTGACTGGTCGTGATGTCGGTCCTGTTGACGACGTCGCGGTCACGGTGGATATGATCTGCGTCTGGGGGTAATATGACCGGCGCTGCATCTTCTTGAAATCGTACGGTGTGAATCTAGATAGGGCACGAGCGATAGTCAATGCGAGGTAGTCCCAGTGATAAGGTTGGCCCGACAGAAGAAATTGACTAATATGACGTACTGTTCTTCCATCTGCCTCATCTCGGCGCTCAGACTGGCGATGTCCCGCTCCTTCCGCTGCTTTGCCCGCAGAGGGTTGTCCTCCAACAGCAGCTCCTCCAGCTCGTGCGACGCATCGAAGTTGGCCTTCTTGTTCTGTGTCAAGACGGAGCTGAGCGGATAGGCACAAATTGCGAGGGATATGGTACGCACGTCAGGGATGAAGGGGGCCGTCTGCTCCTTGGACTCCAGCGTAGCCCAGTCAATAGTTGCCATCCATGGATGTCTCTTCAACTCTTCGAAGCCCTCGCCGTTTGGTTTGCACGCCAACCGCCTTGTGGGATCTCGGTCCAGGAACTGTGTGCACGCCATCAGCCATCAATCGATGCGGACGAAGGTTCAGATAGGCGAGAGTGCTGGTCTCCCGGACATGGCGTGGGAGGGAATATAGGGTGATGCGGTAAAGGGATGAATTTGCACTTACGCCCTTCAACGCCTGCAGTCCAGCTCTACTGCACTTCGACTCTGCGTCCTCCGGGAAACGCAACGAGTCCTTGGAAATGCTGTGAGTGAGGTCGCTGTTCGTCTTGCCGCGGAACGGTCTCCGGCCGAAGATCAACTCGTAGGCGCAGACTCCCAGAGACCACCAATCAATGGTGTACGTGTATCCACGCTTAGCGAGGATTTCGGGCGCCATGTACGCCATCGAACCTGCCACACCGGTCAATAGACGCCGCTCGGAATAGTGTACGGCGATGTTGAAATCGGTCAAGTGGGCGTGTCCACGCTCGTCGAGCAGGATGTTGTCCGGTTTGAGGTCGCTGTAGAGTATCCTCTGTGAACTACGAGGGCGACGAAGTAAGAAGACGAATTACCGGTGGATGATTCGGTGGTCATGGAGGTAAGCCAGCGCAGAACCGATCTCGGCAACATAGTACTTCACAACATCTTCAGGCAGCGACCCTAATCTCTCCAAGTGGACTGTCGGAGCAACGACACGATGAGCGCTTTGCTGCGAATGACCGGAATCGGGCCCGAATGAGAGCTCACATCTCAAGTCCCCTCCAAGCATAAGATCCAGAACGAAAAAGCAGTTCTCATCATCCTGAAAAGCGTAACGCATGTTCACGACGAACGGGTGATCGATCTGCATCGGAGAAGCGGGGATTAGTGAGGCGACAAGGATCAGCAGGGACAAAGCAACGGGACGTGCCTCCTCCAGTAACCGGCGCTCCTGAATGATGTTCGCGACGGCTTTCATCTTGACGCACTTGGCCTTGTTGATGTACTTCAACGCGTACAAGTCACGGGTCTGCTTGTGCTGGACAACGCGGACCTGGCGGGGGGCAACACGGAGTTGGCGCGGTTGAAGCCAGAAGGGGGGATGGGAGTGCGCACCTTGCCAAAGGCGCCCTTTCCGACACATCGCAGGAGGATGAAATGGAAAAGGTTGGCCTCGCCATCGAAGTCTATGGGCTAGAAGAAGGCGGTCGGGACATGGGCGGGGGTTGCAGCAAAACATGAGAGCCGTACCTGGGCCCGACAGCAGACAGCGCCCATAATGCGGCAAGAGCGATAAGAGACAGGATGGCGAGACGGGTGTTTGGAGGAAGGTACAAAGCGGGAGTAAGAGATGGGCTGGTGAGGGCAGGAGACAGCCCTGGCGGCGAGTGAGGAGGGCGGGGAGGGGAGCGGGTGAGGAAGAGGACAGAGCAGACACGGGCTGCTCCCAGTCCCAGGCGATCAATTCCGGCGCCTCCGCCTCTGCAACAAGCGACATCTCCGCATTTCCACTTCCATTTCCATCGTGCCTATTACATAATACCCACTTACACCTTCCAATCCGGGCACTTATATTATTCCCATAAGCAACCGCCCGCCCATCGGGCGCTAGCCGCCCGTGGCTTAGCGTAGTCTCGTCGCTGAGCGGCCTTGCCTCGTCTGTCCTTCGCCTTGTTCCCCGCCCCAGGGCTCTGCCATGCCCCCTGCAGTCGACTTCCTCCGCCCGCTCGTCATCTCTGGCCCCTCCGGAGTCGGCAAGAGCACCCTCCTCAAGCTCCTCTTTGCCGACCATCCCAATAAATTTGGCTTCAGCGTCTCCCGTGAGCTGCCATTCTGTCCACCCGTTGACAGCCCACTCCTCATGTCTGTTTCACCATCTCGTGCCCGACCCTGACCACCAGACACTACGCGCGCCCCCCGCACAGGCGAGGTCGACGGCAAGGACTACTACTTCGTTTCAAAGGACAAGTTCAAGGAGCTGATCGCCCAGGGCGCCTTCATCGAGCACGCCCAGTTCTCCGACAACTTCTACGGCACGAGCTACATGACCGTACATGAGATCGAGAAGTCCGGCAGGAGGTGTCTCCTCGATATCGAGGCCCAGGTATGTTCGCTTGGACACGTCGGTCCCTCTCATCCCCGCCGTCCAAACACCCCTTCCAGGGCGTCCGCCAAATAAAGGGCACAAGTTTGAACCCCGTCTACCTTTTCGTATCCCCGCCCTCCCTGACCGCGCTGCGCACGCGTCTCAAGGGTCGCGCTACGGAGGACGAGGCGGCAGTTGCCAAGCGACTCGCTGCCGCCCTCAGGGAGATCGAGTATGCCAAAGAGGGCGCGCACGATTTCGTGATCGTCAATGACGATCTGCCCAGGGCGTATGAAAAGTTCCAGCGGGTTGCCCTTGGAGAGCCCATCGAAAGCGATCCTCTGCCTCCCCTCGACGATTAGATTGTGTCGATGTATACCCAAGGTGCATTATGGGACTTAGAAATACAAGTATCAATACATAGATCTGGCGAGCGCGATGGTGTCGTTATTCCTGCCTCCGGTGGGAGTCGGATGCGTCCACTTACCAGATATTACGACACCGTTCCCAGAGTGTCTTTTGTTAGTGCGTCCGAATAAGTCCATAAATATCGCCATAATGCTGATGTCCTCGAAGGAATCCTGCTCGTCCGTCTATACTTGTCTCGCGTAGCAGTACCGATGTCGGTGGACCCGGTCAACCGATCGGCAGCGACAGCCTGGCTAATAGCGGAAGCGCATATACGCCATGAGAAGCGCTGAGCAGCCAGTGACTAAAGGCCTGTGATCAGAACATAGGGCCAGACATCACACGACTACAACAGAGTACGCACCAAAACCGACGAGATACTGCAACGTCGTGGCCTGTGAATGACACAGTGCGGTCAGCCAATTGGGCCATCAGGTGGCCGCTGATAGCACGCGGCGCGGACAAGACACAAGCGGCGACCCACTTTAGAGACCTGGATGGAGGTGCGGAGGGCGGCGATCTCCTGCTCAATGCGTGTGTCGACCTCCTTGATCTTCAGCTCCTGCTTGCTCGTCTCCTCGCGCATGCGGCCTTTCTCGAGGTTGAGGTCGAGGCGCACGCCTGCCTGCGTGCGCATGATCTCCTCGCGGAGGCGCTGCTTGAGCTTGTCGATGTCAGTCACGAGCCGGTCGTTCTCCGCCTTGATCATCGCGAGCTCGTTCTTCTCCATGAGCTGCAGTTCAGACTTGAGCTGCGCGAAGTCGACTTGTTGCGTGTAGCGGTGCTGCACGGCCCAGAAGTGGCGTGGCAATGGGTGGTACCAAGGGGTGCACGACGGCAATTGGGGTTCGAGACGGGGGCAGTCAGACGGACGGGACAACCTCGTTATTGAGCTCTTATGCTGGATAAGCGGGCAGCGGGAGCGCGCGAACCTTCTCCTGGTCGGCCTTCGTGACCATGTTGCTTGTCATGTTCCGGATGCTCTCGTCGATGACCTCGGCCATGGCGGACATGATGCCTACGGCCTGCGCGCGGTTGAGCCCTTCGCGTTCTAATCGCTGCACAAAGTGGTGCGTGTCGAAGTGAAAGTCATGCCGCCGCGCTGTAGAGCTGAAGGGCCCCTTCGGGGTGGAACTGACTCGGTCAGGTGCTGGCTTGCCTATCCGCGCTGGGAGAGCAATCGAGGTCGACGCGCGCGTCGTCGCGGCGAGGTTAAAAGTAAATGAGCGTATCATGGTAAGAGCTGCGATCGAAGCGGGCAATGAAGAGAGCAGGAAGCGGTAGAGCGGCTGGACAGAGCGGGAGGTTGTGGTATAGGACTATGAAACCATCGGCACGGTGCTTTGCCCGCCTGTGAAGCAGAGGCGCCCCTTGATCGTGGGAACCGACCAAGGGCCAATCAGAGGACGCATACCAGATTTTCTGGCGGGTTTGTAGCGCTGCTGCTTGCAACTTGAAGGGCCCACTGGCACTGTGCTTTGAGTTTGTTCCCCTAATCCCTTCGCGGCTTGAGCAACATGCAGAGCGACGACGTCATTTGGTCTGTGATCAATACACAGTTCTGCTCCTACAAAGTCAAGTATGTATTCCTCTAGCACCCCTCGTTGGTATCAATCGCCAACTGAAACTTTACTCTGTTGTCATATATCTCAGGACAGCAACGCAGAACTTCTGCAGAAATGAATACAACGTGACGGGGCTGTGCAACAGGCAGAGCTGTCCACTGGCGAACTCGAGATATGCCACGGTCAGGGAGAAGGAGGGTGAGTACCCCGCGCATTCAGCCTGAAGCCACAGACTCGGGTTGACCGCTTTGCGGCGTATTCATACGTCCAGGTGTCCTGTACCTCTACGTCAAGACGATAGAGCGTGCACACTCCCCAGCGCACATGTGGGAGAAGATCCGGCTATCAAACAACTATACCAAGGCTCTCGAGCAGGTACGCATGCCCTCTTGCTCTACGAGACTTCCGGGACGGACTCTCAGGCGGCGGCGGCGGCATCGCAGATCGACAAGGAGCTCATCCATTGGCCGAACTTCACGATCCACAAATGCAAGCAGCGCGTGACGAAGATCACCCAGTACCTCATCAAAATGCGCCGCCTCGCCCTCCGGCAACAGTGCGTCCCCCCTTCGTCTCCTCCTACTCCCTTCTTCGTATGCGGACTCGCTGACCGTGCATACAGACCAAAACTCATCGGGGTGAAGAAAAAGCTCGACCGGCGCGAGGCCGTGCGCGAGCGCAAGGCCCTCTCCGCCGCGAAGCTCGAGCGCTCGATCGAGGCGGAGCTCATCGAACGCCTCAAGTCCAAGGCGTACGGCGACATGCCGCTCAACGTCAACGAGGCCGTCTGGCAGGCGGTGCTCGACCGCGAGCGCGGCGTGGAGAAGGAGGGCGAGAAGGGCAGGGGCAGGGAGCTCGACTTGGTCGACGACGAAACGGACGAGGAGGACGAGGAGGAGTTGGAGGACGAGGAGGAGGGGTGGGGCGAGCGCGAGTTTGTAAGCGACTTGAGTGGGGAGGAGGACGAGCTGAGCGACTTGGAAGATGTGGCGGTGAGTGCCCCTTTCGTGAAGGCGCGCAGAGTGCTTCGGCTGACTTGGTGCCATAGTCTGGCGAAGAGGACGACGAGGAGAGTGACGAGGAGGGGGATGAAGAAGAAACCGAGGACGAAGAGGCGTCGAAGAAGGCGGCGCTTGGCAAGCGGAAAGCACCTTCAAAACCTCAGAAGCCACCAAGGAAAGGTCCGGAGAAGAAAGCGAGACGTAAGCGTGCTTTATTACTTACTTATGGCCTGCACTGACACCCACATCCAGGAGGACCCAGAGTCGAAGTCGAGTACGAGCAGGAGATGGAGAGTGTGCCGCTCACCAAAGAGGCACTCGCAAACTGGTAGCAGTGGTACACTGGACGACCCGTTTGTTGCTCACGAAGCCCGTCTATTCTTACTATGTTTTGCTCTACATTCATCGAACCCGCGCTCATCGCGACCTCATGTGCATTGAGAGAAGCATCGCACATACACAACGGAGATGGGAAGGGAGGTACCCAACACAAACATTATGGCACAGCCTACGGTATACTGTATTCAAAAACGACATCCTACGCACCGCGTGCGTGAATATAAGAGGGTATCTGCACAAGAAACGACAGCGAGTCTATCATCCAGGGGCCACTACTGCGTTTTGGCCTTTTGCTTTGCCCGGCGCTCTTCGATGTCTTTGCGCGTCATGCGAGTTCCGAGGATGGCATCCCAGTGAATGAAGAACGGTTGGGAAAAATTGGATTTGATACCAATCACCTATTATGAGATGTCAGAACACATTTGATTCGAATGCTAGGAATTGGCAATGTATCAGGAACGGGAGACGTGGACGTACCTGGTGGTGGATATCGTGGTAGTCTGCATTGTTGGGGCTGAAGAGCTGGAGAGGGTCCCAAGGCAGCCTGTAGCCGCAATGGTCGTCTACAGTCTTGAGAGTAGAGACGAGGAAAAGGAACATGGCCTCGCGGGTGCTGAGGTTGGCAACCCACTCAGCGACACCCGCTCCGGCGGTATCGAGGATAAGGCCCTCGAGAGGGTGGTTGTAGAGCGCGCCGAAAGCGTAGGGGACGTAGAGGCGGTGGTGCCACGAGTGGAACTTCTTGTAGAGGTATGTGTTCATGTGCATGCCGCGGTGGAGGAAGTACTGCCATGTGTCGATGAAGAACCTAGATGGCATGTCGTGAGCGGCAGGACAGACATGAGGGTAGCCTACTTACATTCCAAAGAAGAATTTGGCGATAGGGATAGCCCACCAGTAGAGGGTGTAGAGACCATCGGCACCGCGCTCCGCGAGCAATTGCGCCCCTGCCTCCTCGCCGAAGACGAATGTTACGCCCCGAGCCAACGTGGGAGCGAGCTGGAGCATGTTGGCAACATGGTCTACCTGGCTGCCGGTTGGCTTCTCTTCTACCCACCAAATACCAACGAGGGTCTGGATGATGTGCTGAAAGATGACAGCAAGAATGACATCCGCGCGGGTGACCAGGTTGCGGGACTTGACCTCTGCGCTCTCATGAATGCGGTACTTGTCAAGCCACCGCAAATTGGAGATGTCAAGGCAGTGGAAGAAAAGACTAAAAACCCAGTAGCCAATGATGGGTACCGCAAGAGCAAAGAGGTGGTCTGCGAAACCAGGCAGGAGCTGGACTCGAGGAGTGTAGTATACAGGGTGGTGATTGGAGAGGTAGCGAAGCTGACTGGCGTCGAGGAAGTATGTGGTAGCGTTCGTGGCGGTCATGGAGAAGAGTGTCGGAGAGGCAGTCGTCGTACGCTGCACCCTGAGTGTCAGAAAGGAGGACGGGGCGGGTGAGCGATTGAGAGCGAGGTGGTGAGACGAAAGCTGTCCGCCCAAGACGGGTCTCGAGCAAACCGAGATCTCAAGCACGTACTCAGCGCTCCACCGGTCGATCGCTCGCCCACGTGACCTTCCGTGGCGGCCGCCGAGACGCGTTGAGCCGGATGGACTCGTCCGAGTCGACCTGTCTTGCTGACTATTACCAACGTTCTCCGACCTCACATTCACCAAGCAGAGACTTCACGCCATGCAATCCCAGCCAGCAAACGCCACCCAAGCCAAGGATCGCCACTACATGCAGCTCGGCCACAGCCTGGCTAGGCTCGCCCGCGCCATTGGTCAGACTGCCGATCTTAGCGAGATGATGAAGACAAACTTGGACGCTATGCGTGTTCTCTCTGCTTCACATGCAGCGCAGTAAGCGTGTTCGTGGAAGTTCAAGTGGGTGTAGATGGCTCATGAAATACGTGCACAGATTTATGACCGTGGCTATGGAGCTCAACCACCCCGATGACGATGACGATCGCCGCGAGTAGGCCGTTCCCGTACATTCATGGAGGCTGCTTGGTGCTCTCAGCCACATGCCTTCCGCCCTCCAGGTCTTGCGACCCAGACCGCCCCGACCAGTCAACCGTTCCCCTAGTTAGCCAGACTTGGTGAACATACTCCCGAGAATGCGTATGCTTCTGGTCCAGTCCGCGACCCCAACTAGATTTGGGATCTGGTCCCCTTCTGTCGAATTGTGAAGGCCATCCAGAAGATTTTGAACAAACCCCCACTCATCCCGCAGTCCAGCCGCTCTCCCCTCTCCCGCCGTGCACTATCTCTCAAGGCTTGTTCCTGCCATCTTAGACAAGGCGCCGTAGTTACCTGCTCAGATGTACCAGCAATAGAATCAGGCTTCTCTATTGAATGTATGAACATTGCGATTGTCGGTTCAAGAACATCAATAAATCGAGTTTGACAGTCACGGACAGCGAAGAACCAAATTAGACATACTTGGGGTACCAGTAAGTACCTGGGTTTGACGGCGAATGAGCGCTTATGTGTCTCGCACTCTCTCCGCGCCCTGCCAGCACTAGCATTCATCTTCGATAGACTCCCTCTCTTCTCTCAGAGCCGTCTTCCGTCCACTCCTTTGTCTCCACACCACTTGACCAGCCGATCTGATTTGTTGATACTACTGGCCCACGCACATAGATTGTACAGCAGTTTCCTGGACACGGACACTTACTCGCACGCACGGCGTACTCCCCTGGCGATCACATCGTAACTTCCTGCTGTTGATAAACCCTTAGAAGACTTCGAAGGACGAGGTTAGCAGATGGCGAACGAGAACTCATCCAACAAGAGTGAAGAGGATGTTGTGGAGCTGAAGAGGGCGTTGGCTACTGGGTCCGCAAGCTCGCAGAGCAATGCTGCTTCTGCAGGTGTGTATGGTATCTTGTTGCCCTCCACGTCATAGCCTCACTCAGATTGCAAACATCACGCGATGATACACAGTTGCGCCTATCGTATGTTATTGCATGGCCTCCATTCTCATGACGGTCGTGAACAAGGTGTGTAGTCTGCACGCATGTACCGTATCATCTCGGAGGAGCACACAGTGACACATATCCCTAGTTTGTCGTGTCAGGAAGCCAGTTCAATATGAACTTCCTCCTGTTATGCATCCAGTCTTCCGTCTGCGTGGGGTGCGTATACACTGTGAAGAAGCTCGGGGTCATATCGTTCCGTGATTTCGACACGAAGGATGCGAAGATGTGGTTCCCGATTAGCGTCATGCTTGTCGGTGTCATATACACTGGCTCGAAGAGTCTGGTTGGTATGCAGGCGCGTGCGCGAAGATAATTCCGTTGACCAAGGTTTTGACGCAGCAATATTTGAGCATTCCCGTATACACGATATTCAAGAACCTGACCATCATCCTCATTGTACGTCGTAGTATGACACGTATCATGTTGTATTGATTGACCGTTTGTTGTGCAGGCGTACGGCGAGGTCATATGGTTCGGTGGCCGGGTTACCGGTCTTACCCTGGTCTCCTTTATCCTAATGGTCCGTTTTGACCGGTATCGGAGTGATTGGCCATGAGATCTCACTTCCATCCTCCAGGTCATCTCCTCTGTCATAGCTGCATGGGCGGATATTAACAACGCACTGACTGCCAGTGACCCTGCTTCTACTGCGGGTGCGATTGCGGGACTATCCAGCGTCGGCGGAATCGTTCGCCAACTCAATGTGGGGTACTTCTGGATGTTCCTGAATTGCGGGACCAGTGCGGCATATGTGAGGTTCAGCTTCGCTTGGACGAGTGACGTCGGACTTACCCTGTGGTCTGTGCGGCAGGTCTTGACGATGAGGAAGAGGATCAAGGGGACGGGGTTTTCGGACTGGGACACCATGTATTACAACAACCTGCTCTCGATCCCCGTTCTGGCCGTGGCGTCGATCATCGCAGAGGACTGGGGCTACGAGAACCTGAATCGCAACTTGTACGCGTGTCTTCCTTGACCGTTTTGATTGGCCGATACTGACGCGCTAGGCAGCCCCCCTGACACACGCAACTTCTTACTCTTCGCGATCGCCTTTTCGGGCGGAGCAGCGGTCGGCATCTCGTACACGACTGCCTGGTGCATCCGAGCAACGTCGAGCACGACTTACAGGTCAGTGTCGTACCCCCGAAAGTGGGCGTTCTCGCGACTGACGGCCGTGACAGCATGGTCGGGGCACTGAACAAGCTGCCGGTCGCGGCTTCGGGGATGATCTTCTTCGGCGACCCCGTCACGTTTGGGTCGGTGACCGCTGTGAGCGTCGGGTTCTTCGCAGGGCTGGTGTACGCATTTGCGAAGAACAACCAGAAGAAGGCGGAGATGGCGGCGCAGCAGACGGTCATCCCGCTGGCGAGCAGACCGTCGTGACCCCCGACATCATGCGCCCGGATGAGGGCGGGCAGCAACGGTTTTGTAGCTGTGGACGGTCCGTGGATAGAATATACTCTTTGGGAGGAAATACGGGGATGGCCGCGCGTGCTTGGCTTTGTGGCCAATGAGATGCCTCAGCGGGAAAGGTTCCGATTGGCGTAGGTTGGCGTCTTTGCATGCGTTCGATCGTGCGTGCGCGAACGTACGGTGACATGGGGGCGTCCGATGGGGAAGCGATCGGTAGGTTTTCTGACGCGAGTTGGCCAAGAAACCTGAGTGGCAGGCTGCGCCGCTGCTGGGGCTTGCGTGGTGGAGTTTAGGAGAGAGGCCGCAGTAACACCGACTTGCGTCGATATATAATACGAAGGGGTTGAGGTATTATGTAGCACCGCGGCCGCGGAACTAGCTTTGGACGGGAAGATAAGCCGAAGAAGCACACTGGGAGGTGACGCGGATCTGATCTATATGAGATCACTCGAGATCACTTGATATCCGCTGCTATCTACGCGTCATTCGCTCGTCCCCTCCCTGTCGAACCCCGCCGCCCTTCTGCTCCTTGCCTCCATCGTCCGCGTCCCTAGGCAAAGCATCAGCCACATCTTCACTCCCCTCACTCGCCCAATCAAATCAAGCCAGCCATGGCGTCCACCGACGCGTCGTCGGCGACACTCCATCCGCCGAGGCTTGCCTCCATATTCGCCGTTACGCCCAGTGCCCCCGGCACTCCTGTGCACTCCATCCAGACCATGCGTCGCAAGGCTGCAGGGCACTCTGGGCCCCTCACTAAGATCCTCGTCGCCAACAGAGGTGTACGTCGTCCAACCTATGACTCCTTTGCGCTCGCGCTAATCAAATTCCGCACCCCGTAGGAAATTGCTATCCGTGTGTTCCGTACGGCGCACGAGCTCGCAATGCACACCGTCGCCATCTTCTCCTTCGAGGACCGGCTCTCCGCTCACCGTCAGAAGGTACGACGTTCCGCGTTCTATGCTGCGGCCTTCCGTGGCCCGCACAGCGTTCTCACCCTAACTCCCCTTTGTGATCCGTCCCACCCGTCAGGCCGATGAAGCGTACCAAGTCGGAAAGGGTCTGACTCCCGTTGCGGCCTACCTCGCGCAGGACGACATCATCCGGATTGCACTTGAGCATGGAGTGGACATGATCCACCCTGGGTAAGGCATCTCTCCCCGATATACGTTCGAGACACGATGATCCTCAGAATCGGACGTTTTTGTCAACAGGTACGGTTTCCTCTCCGAGAACGCGGAGTTCGCACGCAAAGTCGAGCAAGCCGGTCTCGCGTTCGTCGGTCCGGCCCCAGAGGTTATTGACCAGCTCGGTGACAAGACCAAGGCGCGCACCATCGGTGAGCATCGGATACTTGTATGCGCCTTGTAGTTTGCTAATCTCAGTCTCGAAGCTATCAAGATTGGTGTCCCCGTCGTCCCTGGTACGCCTGGACCGGTTGGCTCGTGGACCGAGGCCGATGCGTTTATCAAGGAGTACGGTTTCCCTGGTGAGCTGCTTCGCGATTCGCCGCCACGCGGTCACCTGACGTATGAACTGCACCCGACAGTGATCATCAAAGCCGCGATGGGCGGTGGAGGACGTGGAATGCGTGTCGTCCGCGAGCAGTCCGATTTCAAGGACGCCTTCGAGCGCGCCGTTTCTGAGGCCAAGTCCGCCTTCGGTGACGGCACCGTCTTCATCGAGCGTTTCCTCGAGCGCCCGCGCCACATTGAGGTCCAGATTCTCGCTGATGCTGTTGGCAACACTGTGCACTTGTTCGAGCGTGACTGCTCCGTGCAGCGTCGTCACCAGAAGGTCGTCGAGGTCGCACCTGCTACTCACCTCCCCGAAGAGGTCCGAAGGGCGATCCTCGCCGACGCTATCAAGCTCGCTAAGAGCGTCGGGTATAGGAACGCGGGTACTGCTGAGTTCTTGGTCGACCAGATGGGCAGGCACTACTTTATCGAGATAAACCCCCGTATCCAAGTCGAGCACACCATCACTGGTAATGAATTCAGAGCAGTCTTTTGTGCGAGAATCAGGAACTGACCTCCGTCCAGAGGAGATCACTGGCATCGACATCGTCGCCGCACAAATCCAGATAGCTGCAGGCGCAACTCTCCCACAGCTCGGTCTTACACAGGAGGCGATCACGAAGCGTGGCTTTGCCATTCAGTGTCGTGTCACGACTGAGGACGCGTCGCAGAGCTTCCAACCTGATACCGGCAAGATTGAGGTCTACCGCAGTGCTGGTGGAAACGGTGTCCGTCTCGACGCCAGCTCTGGTTTTGCTGGTGCTCAGATCACTGTACGTTTGACAACGATTTGGGCAGTGCTGTGCTGCAATATTCTGATGGATGGTCTGGTATAGCCCCACTACGATTCGTTGTTGGTCAAGGTCACTGTGAGCGGCACGACGTACGAGGTCGCTCGTCGTAAGATGCTCCGTGCTCTCGTCGAGTTCCGTATTCGTGGTGTCAAGGTACGTGACTTGTAACTTTGCAGGCTTTGTCGTGTAGTCTGACGTTTCCGACCAGACAAACATCCCCTTCTTGTTCCGTCTTCTGACCCACGATGTCTTCATCGGTGGCAAGACTTGGACTACGGTATGTTGTGGTGCACTTACCGCTCAATGGAGTGCCTGACATCAATGCTCCCCAGTTCATCGATGACACTCCTGAGCTGTTCAAACTCGTTCAGAGCCAGAATCGTGCCCAGAAGCTGCTTGCCTATCTTGGAGACCTTGCCGTCAACGGCTCCTCCATCGCGGGCCAGCAAGGCGAGCCCGGTCTCAGGGAAGAGATTGTCGTCCCCAAGCTTGTCAACCGTACGGACCCCAATGGACCCCCCGCGGACACATCCTTTCCTTGTGAACTCGGCTGGCGGAACATCATCGTTGAGAAGGGTCCCGAGGCGTTCGCCAAGGCAGTCCGCGAGTACCCCGGCGTGCTCATCATGGACACGACGTGGCGTGATGCCCACCAGTCGCTGCTTGCGACGCGTCTCCGGACTATCGACATGGTCAACATCGCGAAAGAGACGAGCTGGGCGCTCGCGAACGCTTATTCGCTCGAGTGCTGGGGTGGTGCGACCTTCGATGTCGCTATGCGATTCTTGTATGAGGACCCTTGGGAGCGTCTGGTAAGCCTGCTCTCTAGGCATGTGCACGAAGACAAGGCTGACTTGACTTGGAACATAGCGCACGTTGCGTAAGCTCGTCCCTAACATTCCTTTCCAAGCTCTCGTCCGTGGTGCGAACGGTGTTGGATACACGAGCTACCCGTGAGTCAGGAGAGCTGGGGTGAGCGTAAAATGATGCTTACTGGTTCACGATCAGCGACAACGCCATCTATGACTTCTCGCGCAAAGCCGTCGAGAATGGCCTCGATATCTTCCGCGTGTTCGACTCCCTGAACTACATCGGTATGCGCTCCTTCTCTGACGTTCATTACGCAAGGCTGACAACATCCTACAGAAAACGTCTGCGGTTCTACTTTCTAACGAAAAGTATGTCTCCTAAACTTTTCAATAGATGAAGCTTGGCATCGATGCCGCCAAGAAGGCCGGCGGTGTCTGTGAGGCCGTCGTCTGCTACACCGGCGACGTCGCCAATCCCAAGAAGACGAAGTACACCCTACAGTACTACCTCGACTTCGTCGACCAGCTTGTTGCCGAGGGCATTCACGTCCTCGGCATCAAGGACATGGCTGGTCTGCTCAAGCCTGAGTCGGCCAGGGTGTAAGCGCCTGACTCGTCTTTTCGTAGCGCATATACTCACTTTGTTCCTCTCAGTCTCATTGGTGCCATCCGGCAGAAGTACCCCGACCTCCCCATCCACGTTCACTCTCACGATACCGCAGGCATCTCAACTGCTAGTATGTTGGCTGCTGCCGCCGCCGGTGCCGATGTCGTCGACGTCGCTATTGACAGTAAGATTGTGGGCAGCAGTCATCTCAGCTGTGCGCTAACTTGTGCCTGCAGGCATGTCTGGCCTTACTTCGCAGCCACCGATGGGTGCTGTCTGCGGCGCTCTCGAGCAGACTAGCCTAGGCACTGGTATCCGTTATGAGGACATCCAGGCACTCAACATGTACTGGTCGCAAGTCCGCCTGCTGTACTCCTGCTTCGAGGCGAACGTCCGTGCGTCAGACTCTAGCGTGTTTGATCACGAGATGCCCGGTGGGCAGTACACGAACCTGATGGTAAGGGTTGTCGCGATGCTTCGTCGAAATAGTGGCTTGACAATATTGGGGCATTGTGTAGTTCCAGGCTCAGCAGCTTGGGCTCGGGACCCAGTGGTCTGGTAGGTTGCTCCCACAACCCTGTGTCATAGCTATCAGAAGCTGATGTCGCTTGCCAGAGGTGAAGAAGAAGTATGTCGAGGCCAATGAGCTCGTGAGTCGTTATGAAATATATTCGCATCTGGGCGCTTTAGGGCTGATGGTGATTGCCAACAGTGTGGAGACATCATTAAGGTGAAAGATCCCCTATTGGTTAGCAAGACAGTAAGTCTGACGAAGGGTAACTGGCCAGGTCACGCCTTCCTCCAAAGTCGTCGGAGACTTTGCACAATGGATGGTGCAGAACAACTTTAGCAAGCAGGACGTCTTGGAGCGTGCAGACCAACTCGACTTCCCCTCGTCAGTTGTGGAGTTCTTCCAGGGTTACCTTGGCCAACCCGTCGGCGGCTTCCCAGAGCCCCTTCGCAGCAAGATCATCCGCGACAAGCCAAGAATCGATGGCAGGCCTGGTGCTAATCTTGCGCCCATTGACTTCAAGAAGGTCAAGGCTGAGCTCCGTAGCAAATTCGGAAAGCACATCACGGACGCCGACGTCACGTCGTACGTCATGTACCCGAAGGTGTGTTTGCGCTTCAGAAACAAAATAAGACGTCTGTACTCATAGTTATGCTAGGTCTTCGAGGAATACCAAGGCTTTGTCGAGAAGTTCGGCGACTTGAGTGTTGTGCCGACTCGCTTCTTCCTGTCCCGCCCTGATGTTGGCAAGGAAATGATGATCGACATCGAGAAGGGCAAGACCCTCATTGTCCGTCTAATGGCTGTAGGTCCTGTCATCGAGGGCCGGGCTCAGCGTGATGTCTGGTTCGAGGTCAACGGCGAGGTAGGAGCCTGCATGCTACACGATCTCGACACACGATACTGATATGGTGTAGGTCCGCGCTGTCTCTGTCGAGGACAAGAACTCAGCGGTCGAGTCCGTGTCTCGTGAGAAGGCAACGTCCGATCCTGGCTCCGTGGGTGCCCCCATGTCCGGTGTCGTCGTCGAGGTTCGTGTGAAGGAGGGTGCTGAGATCAAGAAGGGCGACCCTATCTGCGGTGAGTGACGTTAGTCTCAAGTTCATTGCAGAGCACTGATGGCATGCTCGCTACCCAACAGTGATGAGCGCGATGAAGGTATGTACTTGGCGAGCCTCCGTGACCGAACAAAATCTCATTCCCTCCGCTTTGTTCACAGATGGAATCGTCGGTCACGGCGCCCGTGTCCGGTCATATCAAGCGTGTTGTGGTGCAAGAAGGTTGGTCTGCTGTCTCAGCTGCGGCTCCCAAATGATGGCTAACGGTGACGTTCTACAGGCGACTCGATCAACCAGGGCGACCTGGTCGTGGACATCGTGCACTGAGTCAGTTACTTCCCGGGTCACTTGTTCGTGAATGTGGTACGATGTGTATGACTACGATAGAAGCCAAGTACTTGTCATGATTACGAGCACAAATAGAACGCACAATTCATTCCGAGATGCGAGGTCATGTGTGCAACTCTATTTTACAACCTCTCCATTCAACGCCCGGAAGTACTTCCCGTGTACCGAAGGCCCCTGGATGCCATCGCGAAGGTGTGTCCTTTGTTCTCACCGGGACCCACTGCGGGAAGCGCTTTGGCGACGTATTTGTCAATGTGCGACTTCGCCGTGGGTCAGGAGGCCCAGCGTTCGGGTCACGGCGCCGTAGAGGTAGTGCCTTGTTCGCACGACCTAAGTTGTGCGCGAAGTCAGTCCTATCACCGAGTACATAGAAGCTTCTCAAGCTTGTCGTACGGATCTTGGAGACCAGCTAGGGCACCAGAACAGCGGCAGCATACGTCAATAAAGACATTGAGGAGTTTGCGTTGGAAGCCGGTGATCAGCTGCCTCAGCGGGTTCAAGTTCGCAGCCACCATGACACCATGATTCGTGGATTCGCAGGTAGTGTCTGCCAATGACTTGACTGGAATGCGCTCCGCAATGGGGCGGTAGGGGACGTAATGCACCAGCCACTACCGCCGGCAGAAGCACGTCTGCGCAGGAAGCTCAGGCAGCGACCTTACGCACTGCCTCAAACTGTAACTCTAGCTGGTTTCGCATATTTTCTATCATTAAGTCTTGAGCAACAGGCGTGACAGAAGCTACAAATGATTTGACTGCACAATAAGCTCACGCTACACATACTTCCGTACGATCCAGCTGCCTTCATATGTCCAAGCGGCTCCGCGATCAATCGTCCAGCAACCCCTGGGTCTTCTGCAGCTGCCTCACGATATCGGTGTGCAGCTCCGCCATCACGTCCTGCTCAGTTAGTCAATCTTAGTTGTCCGATCGATGTGACATAAGGCACCACATGCGAAACCGCGGTGGTGGCTAGCTGACCTTCATGGGCTTAATTTCCTTCATGAGAGACACGCCTTGTCCGCACCATACCACCATGTAATCGGCGTCGTTCGCCTCCGTACCCTTCTTGTATTTCTCTTGGACAATTTCATGGGGGACGCCTGCCTCAATTTCATCTACAATCTTGTTTCGGATACCACGACCATTGAGCCTTTTGGGCCAGCCGTACGTTCCCCGCGCGTAGTCGAGCGCCATCGTTCGGACAGTGGAGCCGGACTTGGCAGCCAGAAGCGCGGCCTTCTGGGCATCTGTGTACGGACATTCGGTTGTGAGGAGAAAGCGAGTGCCTAGGACGGCGCCGGCCGCGCCAAGGGTGAGGTAGGCGGCGACTTGTGATCCAGTGGCCATGCCTCCCGCAGCAAGTACGGGGGGTGCACCATCTCCCGGGAGCGCAGCTAGGATTTCGGACACGAGTGTGAACGTGCTGGGAGTGGTTGCGCCCCCGTGACCACCAGCCTCGGTCCCTGCACGAGATCATGGGAGTGAGAAGGTGGTATAGAATAGGATGAAGCCGAGCCAGTGAAGGGAGCTTGTGCGCTGTCCGGATGTCGCCCCGAACGACAGAGCAGAAGACCTACCTTGAGCGACTATCACGTCGGCCTTCCACTCTTTCGCCGCGAGCAGCGCCTCCTCTACAGAGGTCACTTGCACGAAAATGAGGGGCTTGTGGCTCGCACGAGCGTTGGCAGGCGAACTCCGGACGTACTCAATCCAGCGGTAGACGTCATCACCGAAGGCAAGCCACACTGCGCGCACGTCGTTCTCGAGCACGACGTCGACGAACTGTTTGGAGACGTCTTCCTTGGCGTCCAGGAGCCAACCGATGAAGCCGATCCCGATTGGGAGCGGCTTATTGCCCAGGTCCGGGATGCTGTCCCGGACGAAAGTGAGGTCCTCGGCGAGCTTCTCTGGGGTGCTGAACGCTGCAAGTAGATAAATACGTGATATCAGGCAACCATGGAGACGGCAAGAGACGTACCCGCGCCTACGAAACCGAAACCCCCGCCTCGGGTCACTTCAAGCTGTATGCGGCGGGATCAGTAGGTGGTATGACCCGGTGGTTTTACGTGTACCCACTGCGGTCGTAGGCGATGTTGCACCTGCCATGGCGGCACATACAATTGGCACTCGAATGCCTGCGGAATCGACTTCACATGAGCTTCCAGTTGCGAGATGACTTCAGTTTCGCTCACCGAGGAGGCGGGTCAAGCTGGTCTTCACAGCTTGCATCGTGAAAATATATGCGGACAAGTGGGAGAGACGGCGATTGTGCTATATAAAGCTTGAGGAGAGCCTCTTATACCTGTACGCCAAGGGGAAACGCTATAGTTCCTCACTTGAAGGCCAATTCTCCTAACGTTCGATGGCCGCTCGGGCAATGTTTCGGTGAACGATTGTGAACAGTACCGGTACACTGCGTTCTCCAGGCTCGGATGGAGCTGAACAACGTCAGTACTTCTTCATGTGGCTATTTACGGAAAAGGTCAGGAATCTAGAGTGCGGCACTCGTTTCACCTCGTATCTTCGTCACTAGCTAGGAAATAACTCATAGCACGGTACTCGGGATACACAGGTAAGATCTCACCAGAGCAATCTATGTCCATTTTGTAAATTTATGAGAAAGCAGTTCATACTTGCAGATGTATACAAGGGACTCAGCCTGAGCGATTCGGGCGCCTGCTTGAGGCTTGTTTGGTCTTGCTTGGCAGGAGCTACTGAACCTCGCGCTCATCGTCTGCACGCTTCTGCGCGTCGTCTGCCTCGTTCCACAAAAATCTCTGCCCATCATGGTGAGTCTACAGCTCTGTCTCCAATATGCCATCAGAATACTCACGGCATGTATGCAGCCTCCGCCGAAGTCAAAAGGCGGCAAAATGCTCAGCCTCATCAACTGGAGGCTCAAGGTCACGATCAACGATGGCCGCGCGTTCGTTGGCCAAATGCTCGCCTTCGACCGCCACATGAACCTCGTTCTCGCCGAGTGTGAAGAGTTCCGTCGTGTCCGTCCAAAAAAGAAGCCTGGAGAGACCGAGGCGGGCCCGATGCAGGAGATGAAGCGGACGCTTGGTTTGGTGATTCTTCGCGGCGAAACCGTCGTCAGTCTGAGTGTGGAGGGACCGCCACCTGTTACGGATGACGACAAGAAGAACGTCGTAAGTTCAAGTCGTTGAATTATGCCTCCAGTGTCCATTGGTGTTAATGCATCGCGTAGTTACCGTTTGGTCCTGGGAGAGGGGCGCCTGCAGGTCGTGGCATGGGCCTCTTGCCTCCAGGTAAGCTAACCGTGCTTCTCTTCCTCAGGTCAGTCCTCTGACAAGGGTTTTAGGTGGCCCTCCAGGTATCGCAAGACCGCCCATGCCATTCGCGCCTCCTGGTATGCCTGGTGCGCCACCCCCTGGCTTCCGTCCTCCTGGTTTCGCTGGCGGCCCGCCGGGTATGCCCTTCCCCCCACCTCCTGGATTTGGTGGCCCTCCGCCTGGGTGAGTGCAGTACTTCGGGCGTAGTGAGCCTTAGACTAATGCAGCGCCAAATCTTAGCTTCCAGCCTCCCCCGCAGTAAAACCGTGTATTTTTTAGCCAGTCCATGGCGTTGTACTCTTTGTTTCTTGTCCTTCTCGATCGATGCTATCTCCCCTGCCGCTAACACGCAGACGTCTACTCGGCTCGGATGGAGTGGGTGGCTTCGCTCACGCACTTCATCGGGGTAAGACTTGTATACGCGGCGTCGTGGTGGAAGAATGAGTGTACACAGACGTCTGGCCACCACGGTACTGTTATGGATCTGAATGATTGAAAACCGGGTGGGTATCTGTACGAAGGTTTGTATGTAACGGTGACCCTTTCTGCTCCTACGAAGATTGTCGTCGGTCCAAATCAAATGATTGCAGTCAGGGCCTTCCTGTCATTAGATGACCCTGATCTTCAACTTCTTGAATGCGCCGTGATCAACTGCACAGACGGCGGGGCATCGGTGGCATTTCATCTCGATAGCGCCGCGCGGGACATCAGAAGCAGCGCTGCCCGAAAGCTGAGCGCTGTTGACCGAAGTAGACAGGACAGCATATGATGAGAACCTGTTTCTGTCCACCGGGGGGCACGTCTCGAGATTTCGAACCGGTACTGCGCATGCTGCCTTAGGATTTCTGGCACGCCAAGTGCTACGAATTACGTCCCTCGAGGCTGTGAGAAGCACGGATGAAAGGCGGAGGAGAGGGGCGGTCGGCAAAACGGCATGAAAGCCAAAACTCAATCGCTACGAGACCTTGTGCAGCGTGACATCTGGCTGAGTTCTGAACCGTGTCGGCGCAGATGTTGACACCGTACCAATTGCGCAGGCACTATTTATTGACGGATTGTTCGTCAGGTCGAAGTACCCTAGTGTGCAGATCGCGCCGGGGAGTGCGGACGGTATGTCAGGTCGTCTCGTGGATGTGTCCCACACTAGTGGATCATTGCGGATATGGCGTGGAGGCAAGGTGGGCGTGCGTTACCTCGATTGGTGATGGTTCTGTATGCAGTGGGCGACATTGATCTGCAATGGTCTAGCACAAAACATGACGTGCGCGCGCATCATCGGGAAGTGGGACAGGCCAAGGGACAGGCTCATGATATGGAATGGTGTGCAGAAGACAGCTGGGAAGGAGCGAGCTGAGATGAAACAAGAAGAACCATCGGGGGGAGCGAAGAGGGAAATTTGGACGTCATACGTGAGGAGCGCAATTGACAGAAACTGTCATATAAACGCGGATGCATTCGGTCACGGTCTCGCTACGCTCCGTGTGTGGCCATAACGTGATAGCATAGGACGACTCGGAGGCAGCGCACCAATCCCGGGCGAGCACCAGGCTGCGTCGGGCGGACGATAGAGACTGCAACGTTCGCGGGAGCGCATGGAACGCAGGGCGCGTTCGAGAACGCGGCGGGACCTGTGTCGGAGTCGCATTCGCCCAGGACAATAGAGCCTTGCCCAAACCGTAGGCGTGACAGAATGCGTCTGGGGGAGCCCATGGGCAGAGGAAGCTCGCGCGGGCGGGCTTCGTCGGCGACGATCGTCCCAGACGGGAAGTCAAGGGCGGAGTACACACACGGATGGAGTTCTAGCGTGGCAGCACCAATAGAACGCGCGGTCCCACCGTCCCCTGCTTGCCCTGTCCGTGCGATCGACGGGGCCGGTTTGCATTGACGCAATTGCGCCGAATGTTCCTGTCGAACAGGGAAGGGTGAACCTCGTCCAGGGCTTGCGGGTGAGGTAGTCCCATGACAGGGAACACGGACTGCGAATGGATGGCGTACATTGATGCGCGCGCCAGGGGCCTCGAGATCGCGCCTGTCCACGCTGCTTCTGGTTGGCGGAAACAAGGCGACTGAAGGCGCATGTCACAAAGTGTCAGAGCGTCGATGATGAGACCGTAGGCCAGCGCAGCCCCTATGGCAGGATACCTGGAAGTCCAAGTGTGACCCTGAGGCTCTGGCATCTGAGCGATAGCTGGTGTTCCGGATCACGTCGACGCTCGCCACCTTGGCCAGTGGGGCTCCTAGTCGACGGGCTGTTTGCGGATCGCGGCCTGCTAATGCAACATTAGTCAGTAGCAGGGATGGCTGAAAACACGAGGCTACCCGCGATAGGCCTACCGCGCGCACCGGTGGCGCATTGCCTGCGGTTCCTCAGAGTGATCGGAGTCGATGATACGGATCTTGCTGTGCTCAGAGGAGCGCCCTGTACTCTATCGAGGTACAGCTGAATACATAGCACTGAATGGGTCAAACTATGGTGAAGCTGCGCCATACACGATATGTAGTATTACTGGTGCTCACCTCAACGCTACCCGCCGTATGTACGTGCCGAAGGGCAGAGGAAACTTCTCTGCACCATGCCGCAGCTGGTGGCTGTCGTGCCGGAATAGACACTTGCCAACTGCACCCTGGAGTGGTGGCGTGATGGTTGGCAGATAGCTTCGGGGTCAAACTTGCCAAGTCTCGAGATCTCGACAACGCTATGGTGTTGTGCAAACCGTGCCAGCTTGGCCCTTAGACTAAGTATCTAAACACAAGGCACAGCTGTTGCCGGATGTCACTGGTATTTGCGATATCCGGGTGTATGAGCTTGCGCGAGGTGGAACGCGGTAGAAGGGCGCGTAGGGTGTCCAAAGCAGAGCGCGCCGTGCTTGCTCCGGATCTCTCAAGTGTCGATGGAGGATATCGTTGGGAGACATTTGACTGACATACTGTGCATATAAGGGAGACAGAGACGCAAGAAGAGTTGCAAGACGGCGAAGGTGCTACTTCACCGTCTTGGCAGGAGCGAAAGGAGTATGCTGGAGTTGTGAACCTTCCGACAGTCTGTTGCATGTGTATAGTACACAACGCGCTCTTCTGATGAAGGACCGACCGATAAGAAAGGAGAGGGAAGCCCTGCCGCTGATGGGCCAATGAGAAGGGGGAAAGGGTGGAGTGCTCGGTGCTGTTCCCGTTATGGCGAACGGCATTTGTTAGATTGCAGCCGCAGTGCCTGGCGGCCCCCCTCCCCAATTTGCCTAGCTCGTCTCTTCCCCACCCGGCCGAATGTCACGCCTCCAAGCCCGCTCGGGTCGGGCAGGGCAGGCGTGACAGCGAACAGAAAACAAAGCGGCTGAGCAGCAGCTGAGCTGGCCGGCGGGCTGGTTGCGACGAGACGGATCGACGCCACCGCGCTAAGCCTGTTCGACGGACGAGGTCGCGACGGGCAGTTGATAAATGGGGTGAACTGTCTCCCGACGGCGCCCCTGCCAGGGGCAGTCGTCGCCTGAGGTAACCGTCCCCGGAAGCTTTTTCTGTACGTTCTCTCAGACGAGTCCTCTGAACAGTTTGCTGCCGGCGTATCTTCATGCGTGGCGCGCATACGCTTCAGTCCCGAGCCCGAATATTCGGATGTCTTGCCTTGGCCGACGCAGACCATACCCCGCGAGCGTCAGCAGGTGCGTACGCTGGGCCAGCCCAGCCAGGGCGAACAGCCGAAAATGCAAGCTCAGAGCCGGAAATCTCATTGAGAGCGGTGGACTGGGATCCGGATGACAGCGCAGTTTTCGGTCAAGAACGTCGGGACTTCTGATGTCTGAGAACGGCAGCCCGACTCGTCGACTCGTCCCTGAGGTCTGATGCCGGACTGAGGGCGGACTGGTCAAGGGGCGGGGTTGAAGGACATATGCACGGAAACAATTCGTATACATGGCGCTAGTTGTGGCACGTCGCGGTTAGGCGGGCACGAGGCTATCAGCCGTGCCAGTGGCGATTGCGCAGAGTCACTTTCCGTTTCGAGATGTCGTGATGGAGAGTACTCAAGGTTATTTCGGTCTTACTGTAGAGCATACCTCTATATTTACGCACCCAGTCTTCCCAGCATAGGCGCGATTACATAGAAAGCGTCCCCCCCTGCTCGATGCTCGAAGCGTCCGAGAGGGTCGGCGAATGTGAAAGTGACGCGGTTCGTGACTCCCTATGGGTATGACACGAGACATGATTTCCATCGGACGCGGCGCTGCTGCTTGGGCGTTCGGGAGGTCCGAGTCAAGTTGAGGCGCGCTCCAAAGGCGCACGACACCTCGGCCCTGTGGTAGCTCGACCGAGGGCGCTCTTGTCATCATCGAAAAACAAAACATACGGCACTGGCGCTGGTTTCGAAATGACAATATGACGTGTCGTGGTGTCGGATTGGCACGATGCTCGATCCGCACAACTGACGAAATTGAAGGGCGTCTGTAGATACATGCACGACGCCACATTATTATTAACACGAATGCGTACCTCATCACGGCTCGTTGCTCAGAACCGTCTGCGTCTCGCTAGACATGCTCAGGGTCGGCGTCCGGTTCCAGCGGGACAGCCTCGTTCGACGGCGTTGCAGCACCGCCAGATGATTGGGCAGTCGACCTGCATATCCGAAAACAGAACAGGAAATCGGCCAGATATTCGTCCGAGAGTCTCGGATGGTTTCACCGGATATGGTGACGTGACTGCTGGGACTGAGATAACGGGCGACGCGTCAGAACGCGTCAGAAAGGCAAAGGGGGCAAGCGGTGATAGAGTAATACAAGGCAAAGTCATATCGGCCTAAGACGGCGTGGCCAAGACAGAAGAAGGGCTGTTCCTTGGTCTGGGGACGTTCGCGGGGTACGAACTGCCAAGCCGCACGGCAGGAGTTGATTCCGGAACAAAATGTGGACGGGATACATGCTGGGGCGGGAGAGGGCCTACGAAGACGCGTAAGGTAGCCTGGGGCTACCGATATAGTACCGCTCGCGTTCGGCTGACCATAAATAGCGATTGAAGGCGCTGACGTAGCATTGAACTGCGTGCCAGCTACTACTGTAGTTGTGCGCTCAGCACTTCTGTAACGGGTGCGAGCTTTGACACAGTGAGTAAAGGCAACAAGGCTGTGTCCGTAAGGAGTATGCACTCGACCTGAGAACGACTGTGCCAGTGATCGGAGTACACGACGGAGGAGCTGGCATGAGCGCAGCCAGCGGACTCAATGTCAGATATATTGTCCCAAATTAGCAAGGCTAACCCTCCGTGGCGAGGGGATCTGAGATGGCACATATGTGATCGCGCAAGCCGTGACCGATTTGGGGCGTGACAAGGGCAGGAGTCAAGGTTGCCAGACTGGGCCAAGTGGCCGAGTGCGGGGCGGCAGCTGATCTGGACCTGGCCGACCCCGCGCATCGCAACAGATGCTCGGCATTTTTGCGCGGGCGTCGGCGTCGGCGTCGCTGCTAAGAACCGTTTGGGATGGCGTCAGTCCGTCGTCCTTGCACATGTGTTCTTTACGAGATTGGTGGGGTGCCTGTTGTGCCGCAGGCGGGAACGAGGTTAAGGTCAAAACGAGAACATGTCGTATGCTCCTCATGCGAATCGGGGTTTGACGAGACATCCAATTCCATCCTCTATGCGGATGCTTGCTGGGAAAGTTACTGTAATTCTCGCGGGACCGACGGCTAGCTCAATACGCCGAGCGGTCGGTCTGAAGTAGTTATGCTGTTCCGAGGTGCACCGCTCACCGCCCTCGTCCAAAGTCGGTCGCTGGGAGTCCATACGACCTTCACTGATTATAGTATGTGGGCCGATACACTAATTGATGCTGTACTCGCAGAGTGCTATTTTCGCTAACCTCGCGAGCCTGCTACGGTAAGCGGCGAAAGTGGTGCAGGGGCGGCGTCGAGGGATGGATAGCGTCCCAGATTGCGAGCCAACGGGTGGCATCTCCGCAGGGGACGGAAGCGAGTGTGGCCCGCAGCCTATAGCGGACAGGACCTCCTTCGTCATCGTCGTCACCGCGCGGCCTTCTAGTGCTTCCTTGGCTATCACACAACCTCTCAGCGCGCACACATACATCAATAATATTCCAACCTGGTTCCCTTGTTTTCTTCTTGGCGGACGCATTCCCTCAATGCGCATTCGCATCTCTTGGTCCGGCCGCACTAGCGTCCGCCCTCACACGACCCCCGTCGCGCGCGAAGCTGCGTACCATGCCTTTGCTACAGGCGCTGTTTATTCGCGACGACCGCGGCAAGGGCGTGTGAGAGCGGCACAAAACATCGTGCGTCATGGACTCGAGGCCTTCGGCGGTTCGACACGGACGTCGGACTTGCCGCCGCTCGGTCAGCAAATCCTGGGATCCGCGTCGCATATCCCAACGCATCACGTTCCCCCCAATTGTGCCGCTGCCCCGCTTGGCTATCGCGAACGCTGTAAGATTCAAAGGCCGAGACGCGAGAGACCTTCGCGTGATAGGCTGCATACAGTCCGCCAGAGAAGCCCAGACGCGTGGCTCGGAGAGAGCGCACGCAACTCCGGGCTTGCATTCCGAACAGTCAAAGAGACGTACGCACTTACAAATCGATCACAACCTCGAGAGCGGAAGACGCCCAGTGTCCAGGCCCTGGAGACTCGGAGTGGTCGCCTACGCTAGAGCTAAAGTGAACGCAAAGCATCGGTGTGCGTCCAGACGTGCGTGGTGAGGGGCACGCGCGACGTGTCGCGGCTTCGTGCGCTTCTAGGCCCCGACATCGGAGCGGACTGGCGGACGGGACGCGACGGAACAGGGCACTCGAGCTGCCACATTGCATTGCGAGCTCGCATCCCTTACGACACAGGCACCTGCGGGCCTGGAAGCAAAACGTGAGTGTCGAGCAACAGCCGTGGCGCGGAAGCCCAAGAAATGCGGGGAAGGGCTTCCAGGGCCAACCCCCCACTCCTCCGCTAAGACATCTGGGGTACCTGGGATGTCGGGAATGCCATGTATGCCCACGTCGCCGTCCATGGGTTCGGGAGACCGGTCCTCGCTCCGAGCTTCGACGGGCGCGGGGAAGGGGAGCAGGCGCGGGGGATGGCCACGCGGGGGAATGGATGGGAAAGGGGTCGGGAATAGACTTTGCGCAGGATCATGCCCACGTTCATGTCGCCCGGCCGTCCGCCTGTCACCATCGCACGGGCGGCTTGGCCACAGCGGTGGGATGTGCGTGGTTGCGACGCTGAACAGCTGACGCCGAGCGTGTTCCAGCTGGAGCGCACGCTGGGAACGTCAATCCTGTGGTCTGCATTTGCATGTGCGCGCCAGGGAGGCGGCGAGGGCGATTTCGACAGATCCACGAGCCCCGGTGTGACGGCGCAGCGGACGATAGGTCGCCAGCGCGCCGTGGAGCACCCATCACGGCGCAGTGGGTGGCGTCCCCTGTACCCCTGTATCTACCGGTCGCAATATGTCTTCCGGGAGATGACGGAGTGGGCAGTCGTGAAGAGACCGCAGACCCTCGAACGGGGGCGCAACAGACCCGGACAAGCAGCAGCAGCAGCAGCAGCAGCAGCAGCAGCAGGAACAGCAGCAGGAACAAGGTTTGCGTGCGAGGCCGAGCCTGAGACGAACGTGCGGGACTGGAGTGGGCTGGAAGCTCGCATTTACACGTCATTTCCCGAAGAGCACTAGCACGATCGTGAGCAGCTGTGACAGCGCAGACGCGGGCGTGTGTGCCAGACTCGTACGCGCACCAAGGGAGGACCCCCGGTTATTCACTCAGAGGAATGATCCGATTTTCCAAAATCTTGCCATAAATGTCCGAAGGATCAGGCCTTTCCGGGAGCCAAATCTGTCCGGATTCGATCAGGCCTTCCGTATTTGTGCGCAAATTTGGCCGGACTATAGATCAGGCCATCTGGCGGCATGATGTTGTCCGGATTGGGCAGATCAGGCGCCCAGAGGCTGAATTTTCGCTCAGGGAATGTCCATATTGTTTGTTTGAGAGATCTACGGCAATCTGGACAACATAGAGTATGCTAGGGGTCATCTTGCAAATGGAGAGGCAAGAAATTCTGTCACTCAGCAGGCTGCCCTACCTCTTGCCCTCCAGCGCTTCTTGCGCAATTTCTCAGTTCACCGCCGGAAATGCAGAAACGTCCCTTTATGTTCCGGGATACAAGGAAAAAGAGATAGCGACACGGTTTGCAAGCCTTGGTGATCAATGAGCGATACTGTT